AAACCTATGTCTCCAAGTTGTATGACGTGATGTCATGTATTCCAGAAACGGCAACATGGAACTCAAGAGAGATATGTTTGTTTCTATTATTTGAGTAAGAAGATGCTCGAATAGTGCAATTAGACCGTATTGAGTGCGGTGGTAAAGGCCATAATTGATTTGCTGATTTAGCGTAATCAAAAACGATCATGGCCGGCTTGCTACCCAACAAGTCGATCGCATCTTCAACACTTAAAAGCTTAAGACGACGAAGATATAGCCTGAAGTACACTAAATTTTCTAGATGCAAAACCTACCGCTAAAACCCGCGAGACCTGTACAGTGCACATGGACGTAGCTGACACGATATCGACTGGTTGAACAATGAACTAGGCAACAGAGCGTTTGATAGGTCAACCCGCCTCAAACAAAGGTGTTGGGCGGTGGGCCGGCCGGGCATCTGTCAGCCGTTCCCCGCGAGTCCGACCGGCGCGGCCGCCCGAGGCGTTGTCCCATGACATCGCTCGGACAGTGACGCGATGATGACGGCCGGCTTCGTAGTTTACATCGAAACGCTTAGGAGTCTGGCGTTCGACCGTCTACATACATTCTACTCGATATTGCACCGGCAGTCTCCTCGAAGCTATCGTATACCGCCTTTTTCGGAATCTAATGGTTGATTAGTTAATTGGTCAGAGGCCAATTAATGCAAATTGCGCTGGAACATGTCGCAAGCCTCATCCATGAATGTGTGATAAACGTTCAACATCTAATATGGCTAGATAAGCACTACCTCATTGACGTTTTGATCATTGACGAAAGTTTTACATCAACAGTCATTGTTTACGCACAGTACCGATGAATTTTGCACATCGATTAACCGTTTTGTGAAATGTTGAAGCATTATCACAATCTGACAAAGTGTTTTGCCCGTGACGAACATTCCGCCCAATGACAATGAGTTATGCAGAATAGTTAAATGGAGTCCAGCCTGTTTTGCCGACCGTCAAACAGTGATGCACATCGCCGATGGGTTATGCTGAATGACGCTTGTCCAAACTGATGCCGAAGTGGTTATGACGATTGGCCATCGAACAACGCAAAAAGGTGTACTGTTATCTGTGACCTACAGCATAATTTCCGTAAAAATACGTTAGCAGCAAATAAGAAAAAAACACACACACAAACATACAACATTCCTAAGTCCTGTCGCAGAACTCTGAGTTAAAAGGTCATAGAGAACAATAAGTTCCGATGTGGTGTAATAACCACCTGCATGGTGTTTCGTTGCACAAATTACTGACCACATTAGCCTCGAACACCGATAACTAGGCTGGTACCGGTCGGTTGCGAGGTCATGCATGCAGAGTGGGCTCTGACCACTCGATGACGTCACAAATGGTATCGATATATGACGTCAGTGGGTCCCGTACCAGCCACCCAGGGTGAGCGGTGTCCGGGGGACCTATCGCCGGCATCACGCATAGTTTGTCCGCCAGTCGCCGCGGTCGTTGCCGATCTTTACTGGTCTTCGCTGATCCTTGCTGGTCCTCGCCGGTCTTAACTGGTCTGTTGCCGGTCTCCACTGCCCTCCTACTGGAGTTAACTGGTTCGCAATGCCCGCCTCACCGCGCATATATTTAAACAGGGGAGTGGAGCCCGTGTCAGACCACTCAGGGTTTGCCCCGCGGCCACAGACCGGACAATGTCAGTCGCTGTCGCTGCCCGGCGCCCCGCCACCGACACCCGCGCCGTTCAGAGAAAACCGCATTGGGAAAGCTGCTTGATATTATAATCCATAACAAGTGGCTGCTTGAATGCCTGCACGACGGCTATGGCGCGGGTGGATTGCTGGGCGATATTCAAATAATGCAATTTGGTACCTGTGCTTGATGAAGTGATTGACAGGGAAACATGCATTGACTCATGGGAGACGCATGCGATTGGCAATGTTTCTCGTGTCAGTTGGATGTGAAGCATGCATGTGAGATGTGCCCTGCCTCAATGACGACTGCAAAAGGTTCACAATTTAAGTCGGATGTCAGTGGGAAAGAAGTTTATAATGAAAATAATTGTCAATATGACTTAACAATTTAGCTCATTAACCCTCGCCAGTAAAAGCGTTTTTACAGCCGCCAGCGCATCGGGGAGGGAGGAACAGATCCCCAGCCGTTCGCCTCTGATCGAGCTGAAACTTCGGTGAAAACGAGTGCGTTGCCCTGTTCCCAGGACATGAAGAAGCCCATGATGCCAAAGTCTAAGGTCTTAGATCGTTGGTTGAATTTTTCCAGGTAAGGTAGATGACCTTAATGTCGGGAAAATCATCGGGACCTGCTTAAACTTCTTGAAGTGAAGTTTTTATGGAGCTGCCATTGAGGAAGCTCATAAAACGAGAAGTCGGGCAAGTTATGTAAATCTGATTAAACTACCTTGCAATTTAAGGACTAAGGATTTACGATTTACGACTAACGATTTTAGGACGCTTTTAGTTTAACGATTTATGAAAGCTCATTGCTGCATTCATTTTGCTGACTTGTCAATGTTGATCCAGGAAAGTTATCACGACTTATGCCATTTTAAGAAAGTACTTGCATTGAGACACATTCGTGTATATTTTTTTGGAATCATTCAAGATTCACAGTGCTGTAAGGACACTTTTAAGAAAGGCTTCGTCATACGAGGAAGTATCAAGAAATAGGCCAAATGAAGGCGTTAGGTACGAAATATATGAAACGTGTCCTCGAAATCCCATGGACGGTCATGACGTAGGAGAGACGAATTCAATGGCGCGAGTCACGGGACAGAATGGTTTCGAATGCGGGCTGCTTTATATGGCGCCACGGGTTCGGTGGCGGGTCCGGTTTTCGTTCATTATACACCACCCGTCAGCGGCTTCGTGCTCGGCGGGACAGTCTAAGTTCAGGCGCTTACCACTAGCGCCATCTAGGAACGGGAGCAGAAGCTCGTGAGGGTTAGGGCTCAAAGAACGGACACTAGAATAATGGAGCTATCATTGTGTAAATGAAACGTAGCTTGAAATGAATGCTGTGATCGATTAACACAACGCTACACGTTGCCGCTTATTCCGAATGTCAACTGCAATTCATTTCGTAGAAAGCAACGGTTGAAAGCGCAACGAACACTTGGCAATCGAGCTCCTATTGGATACCCAAGCACATGTGATCAATGCTTCACTTTGTATTTGTGCTCCGGCTTCAAAATATCAAATCATGTCCGCAAGTTATTCATTCAAACACCCACGCTGCATGAAAACGGGTCACTACCTTGAGACCGTTATGCTTTCCAAAAGGTTTCGATGTCAGCCCCTTGTGAATTGTATGTGACATGATATCACGTGTTCGTACAAATGCACAATGTCATGTGTGTTATCCCGGTGCATTAATTACATATATTGCACTGTTGCCTACTGCCTACAGTGGTACCTTAGCAACAGAGAGTTCCGTCCTTCTTCCCCCCAATATGTTCCTTGAATTCATCTTGATTCTCGCAGATGATCCCAGAACGGTCATTCCTGCAGACCGAAAAGCTTTACGTAACAAAAGCCAAATGCGGACGCCGTTTTAGTTCCGAATGGTGCCACGTTTCCCGATTTAGCGGCGGCCATAAAATCATCCACTCCTTTCTCCTCCCCGTTGCCGTCCTCCCACACATCACCCTGTCTCCGGCAGCTAGTCTTGCAGCCTCCTCCTTCGCCTACTTTCCATTCGCACAGCGTCGCTCTAGGAACTGCACCCGCTCGCCTCCGCCGTCCTGTGTTCGGAGAACAGAAGTGGAGAGCGCCGCAGCCCTCTGTCCCCTCCGGCTCTCCTGTCCGATCGGCTGACCGATAGTCTACCCAGCACGCACAGTTGCACACTTGTTACTAGGAGCACAATTTGCACACGCGCGCCCACGCACCACCTGTGTGAGAACAGCTGAGCTCTGGAGACCACTGCCGAAAGATGGGCAAGGACGCGCGGCTTCATGGCAAGTAAGAGTAACGCTCTGACGCCGCTTTGCATGTGGATTTGGTGCGCGAGCGGTCTGCAATGTGTTGCGGTTTTGCGGGTGGCCGTCTATGGGGAACAGCGGTGGCTCAAGGGCAGCCCAGGGCCGCCAAAATGGCGGGTGGTGACGGTTGGAGCGCAGTATGGAAATGGCGTCCCTGCTCGACACACAGTGACATAAAGTGACGCCTGACATAAAACCCCGCTTGTAGCCACGTCCCGTATAAATCAATCCGCAGATGGCAGTGCCGTTTGATAGATGCAGCGCACGGCGCGAGTGAGCACTGAGCAAGCGTTGCCGCTGTCACCGATGATTTGAAGGGTCACAAGGATAAGCATGCGATACTTGCAATGCCTGCAAAGGTAATGGATTACTGAGCGATTTCTATTATTTCAAATGCCTACATTTAGATCAAATCTACACATTAGAATGCAGAAATCGACTATTGTGTTCTGTTATGCAATTGATTCTGTGGCGGACAAGGTTTTGATCTCGTCATACACAAATATGGTATGCATCGGTGCGGTCACGCACATGATGATCAAATCACATAACTGTCGAATCATTCAAAATGACAGCAGTGCCCTTTGTCGTTTCGGAGTATCAGTAAAGGTTTTCCGTTTTCTAGTATCCAAACTGTGACATACCATACTGTGTGTTAGCGCGTCATATGACTGCATCGTTGTGGCGCTCTCCTTCAGTCAAATCATAACCAGGAGCCCTGCGGTAGTCGAAATCGCACAGAGCCGACTCCACTCGCCAGTGGCCACCCACTCTTATGGGAGACAGAGCACAAGGTCGCCCCGGTGTTCGGTATCGCGCAGGGGTAGCGCGCAGGGCTGCTCCAGCAGCGCACAGGGCTACTCCTGCGGTCGATAGGGAGCAGACTGCAGAGCCGCTCCTGCGGCGGTTTTTAAGGCGCGGGACTGCTCCTACGGTTTAACAGCAGCGCTCCTGTGGTTAGCAGGGCAGCTCTGGTGGCGCAGCGAGCCGCTCAGGCCCTCGGTACTCACCTCCGTCGCCTCGGAGGTGGTGCTCGTCTGGTTGGACGGAGGAGACATTATCTGCGCCGGCTCCGTCGGCGACGGCTCCCCGGAGTTAGACAGGTACTCCCGCACCTGGCGCTTCTGGTTCTGCAGCATGTGGTACGGCGTCGGGTGCTGCAGCCGCGTCTCCACCTGGGAAGAACAGATCAGAGATCAGAGGCCGCAGGTTACAGGTCAGATGTTACAGATCATAGGTCACAGGTTACAGGCTACAGGTCATAGGCTAAAGGTCACAGGACAGAGGGCACAGGTTGCAGGTTAGAGGCTAGAGGTCACAGGTCACAGGTCAGATGTTACGGGTCACAGGTCACAGGTAACAGGTAACAGATCACAGGTAACAGATCGTAGATCACATGTTTCAGATCACAGGTCAAAGTTTAGAGGTCACAGGTCAGAGGTCACAGGTCAGATGTTACAGGCCAGGCCATAGTTCACAGGACAGAGAGCACAGGCTACAGATTAGAGGTCCCAGTTCACAGGTCACAGGTAACAAGTCACAGGTCACAGGTCAGAGGTCACAGGTCATAGTTCAGCCGTCGCAGGTGTATATGTGGGAATTGGGTTTTGCCGAGGTTGTCGCCTCGGCGCCGCGGGGAGCGTCGGCCGGCCGCCGTCTGCCCCGTCCCCTCCGGTGTGGACGGAGGGGCACATCTGGCGTCGGAGCGGTCCCGGCTGCCGTTCGTCCCAGTTTCGGGGCCATGCCGGCGCGTCGGACGGGACAGAGGAGGAGTCGAGTCGTAGCCATGTGACTGTACGGTCGTGTGTAAGGCCGATCGACGAATACAGGTTGAATTGGAGAGAACAACCTTTTACAGCAGGTCACCACTCACTGGCCAAAGATCTTTGGCTAATTATGGTATGAGAAAATTCGGGATGAGTAACTGAGAACAGAAGAGACAAATTACTATAATTTAGACGGATATTTTATTGCCCATCCATGAACTTTGACCTGCCCATCCACGAACGTCTCCGGTAGCTAATTGCCTAGTCGTCCACGCCGGACCGTATCCGCATTGGAACACTTATTTGGCAAAGGCATGCAGCTTGTGTCATCACACATTTTGAAACGAGCTCCAGCCATTAGTCCCCAGTCTTATCTCGGCCCTCCCGCACTTCGAGAAGAGCTACCACGAGAGTGGCAGTTGCCAGTAAGAATTCAGCACGCTCCAGGTATGAGACGAGCACGCGTCCAACACGAGCTCAACGCGTGTCCAAGCACGGGACCTGGGAAAGTAGCTGCAGCGCCCTCTGCAGCCTGGGGGAGCAGCAGCTGAGCATGGCAGAGCGACCTCCAGGCCCGTCCCCGAGAAATACAGCCGGGTGAGGTACAAGGACGGTGCAGAATGCAGCTGCCAGTTATTTGAGATAAATTTGTGATATGTTAATTGTATTTAACATTTATGCTGACAATACCTAGCAGACTTGAGAGTGAAAATAAATTAACCACCATAGAAAAATATGACGCTAGGTTTTTGCGAGTTAACCCTCGCCCTGGCAGGGGGGGGTCGATGCGACCCCCCTAAGGTTTTTCGAAGATAGCGTAAAAACGGCGGCGCGCAGCGCCGCCAAATTTGGCACAGCTTATGGGGCAACCTTTTTACATATGACCCGAAAGTTTCAGGTCCGGGTGACCTTGGGTCAGGTCACCAGCTCAGAAAAACCGGTAGAAGGTCATGGTCAAATTTCAATTTTCTTTTTGCACCTATCCAACTCACAATTTTGGACTGATTTCGTTCAAACTTTCAGGATGTGCTAAGTTCACCGAGTTGTATAATATATAGTTCGGGTTTTTTTGAGGTCACTGACCTGAGGTCAGTTAGAGGTCATTACGTAGTAATGTTAAGCCTATGGGAAAATACTAAATTCGAAAAATACTGGAGATATCCGCTTCGTTCTATCACTTTTGTGCTTTGAGACCACAGCACTTAACAGCAGGTCACTTGGTGCTTCTTTGTTTGGTGTACTTATCCATGGGTCAGGTCAAATGAGGTCAACTGAGGTCAAATGACGTTTTTGCCAATAACTTGACACATAATGACGCTAGAGCTTAAAAATGGTGTCATTGTGTTCCTGGTGATCAGCCGAATCGAATGATATGCAATAGGATGCAATTTTGTTAGCTTAAACTTAATTAATCAATTAAAGTTTACTTAAAATTTAAGAAAAACTTTAAGTACACTTAAGCAAGCTAAAAAGTATATCATTCGACGCGTCTTGACGTGCTGAGTTCACTGGTGCTTTTTTTGCTCTATCTTAATTAGATCAAAAGTTATAAGCGAAAAACTGTTTTTAGCGAAATTTTTACATTTATACACCCCAAAACCCCCCTAAATATTGACCTAGAGCAACCAAATTTGCACAGGGGCGAGAACTCCAGGGGGCCCACCTACCTACCAAATTTGGTGTTTCTAGGTGCCATAGGAGCCAATCGCAAGGGGGGTCGCATCGACCCCCCCCCCCGCTGCCAGGCCGTGTTATGAAAAATGTCCTGCCAGGGCGAGGGTTAATTATGTTGACGATATCACGTATGCTCACGCCTACACATTTATTTTTTACACGTAAATATCGCAAAACACTAATCCATTCCGTCAAATATAGAAAAGAGAATACCGCAAAAAATGCTATCCAGAGGGCGAATAAATAAATTTCCGCATCATCTTTAACATATCTAAACTACCTACTTATCCGCAGGAGCCTTACTGTGGTCGGTTGGGATTTCTGAACAGTCCAGAAGCACGTGCCCGGGAGGGCTGGTTCCCTGCAGTTACCGAGCCAGAAGGCGGCCGCTGTGAGTGGTACCAGGTACTGGTTTGCATCACTCGGGACGAACGTGTTCTCCCCTCGCCTCACCCACCTGTTTAAGTCAGCGTTGTCTCTGTGATCAGCGATAGACAACAGCGACACGGACAGTACATGGAACACTCACGCATTCACCGCTGAAAACAGTTAGGTGGTCGTGTGCGGTCAGTATTCCTTCCCTTACACCGTACAACAATGTCACTGGGGGTGGGTGACACGGTGCGTACAACCCACACTACGCCTTACTACAATGGGAGCAGAGGGAATGGACAATGCGGAGCGTAGGCAAATACTCCCCCTTCTACGTCGCACACGACGGTAGGGGGAGTGAAGTGGACAAGCCCACCTGCTTGTAGCGTAGGATGACGACGGGTGCGTATACTTATCTCACATGTCAACATGCATTACATGCAGCTTTAGACATGTCATTCTGTGGCATCATCGTCTTTTGTGCGAGAGCTAAATTGCATGATTTGCAAGATACCGAGAAAGGAAACACCGTTAAAATTCACTTGTAGAATTGTCAAAAACAGGAACCTACAAATGACCGCCTCCGGATTCGATTTTCTGTTCAAAAATATTGATCAGAGGTCCTTCCTTTGCTAATACAGAATGAAATATTTCATGTAAGTGATTTATAAATATTAAATTAAGCAGATCCTAAAACAGAACTGCCTGCCAAAAATTACACAGCCGCTATTTTAAGTCAAACCACCCCTTCCTGAACATTTTTTTTGAAATTATTTCAAGTTTCAAGTCATATTTAAACCCAGGTATATTAATGATAATAAATCGTTTAGCGCAGTGGTCGGCAGGTTCTCCGGGGTCGTGCCCCCTTTTTTTGGCGGCAGGCAGCGCCATTACCCCCGCCTACCAGACTCCATTGGTGATACAACCAAGGTTACTGAAATTCCATACTTTTCCGTGACTCTTTGGGTACCATATCTGCGAGAAACCACAAGAAACCACCCCTCTCCCCTGCGGTTTCTCAAATACCTATCTCAAAAACGTTGGCACGGAGCGGGCAACAACATGTACAAAATTTGTATCTCGGAAATCTGATGTCGGTGACCAAAGGTCAGGTCAATTTCACACCCTCTCCGGTTATCAATGGGGTAGGGCGCAAAGTCAATGGTAGAAAATTGAAAGGCGCCTCTTTTGGACGAGTGTCATTCCTAATACTGGGAAACACTGAATTACAAGTAAACATGACCACTGAACCGAAAAATTGCACCCGTAGCCCCGTTGTATGTCCCTGAGGTCATTTCAGGTCATAGTGTATAACAGTTTTCGCTAAAAAAAAAACTTTTGATAAAGGCATGCCAGAGCGATGAAAATGCCTTAGATGTGTTCAGCTCGACGATACGGATCGAATGATTTGCAACAAAACCTTCGATGCTTCTCGACGGGAGGATCACGATGCTGATAAAAGTGAGCTCTTGCAAGTTTTGAGTGAAAAGTTATTGAAGAAAAACTGTCAGCAAACAACGTATATTTTGGCAGTTTTTGTCTCCTGCAGGCTAAACCGTTAATCTTATTCTTTGGAGCGCTCTTGCGAGGAACATTATGAATATTAGAGAGAGAAAATATATGAAAAAATGACCTCTCCTCGACATTTAAAATTATTTGAATAGCCAAATATTACTGTATTGATATTTCGCTAATAAATCCCGCGCTAATTTTTGAATTTGAAAACCGCGGGAATAAGTCTGCTGCATCAATTATTGTATTCTCGTTCTCGTACAATTGTGTACACTGTCTTATTCTGAAGAAGACCTGTTGGTCGAAATATCAATACAGTAATATTTGGCTATTCAAATAATTTTAAATGTCGAGGAGAGGTCATTTTTTCATATATTTTCTCTCCCGTTAATCTTAGGTTGAATCTGAGGGCAGGCATAAGAAAAAACGTTAAGAGAGCTATGGAATGCGTTTTTCCGCAGTGCTGTAGCTCTATCCTTTCCTAAGCTTTAGAACAGTTTGTTGAAAATTGTCAAAGGTTGACCTGGAAATTGGCGATACTTTCGTTCGATGACCTCTGGTGAGCTGACCTTTGACTTGACCAAAAAAGTAATCATAGTTTTTTTCATCATTTCTTACGGTCTTTCGAACGCCGACTACGGCGTTTCGCTAGTGACCCAGGAGCAAAGTTAGTAGGGGGTGTTCAACCTCCACCTCCAGCAGGGCGTGGAAGTCCAGGAGCCTCAGCAAGGCGAGGATTAACCCCCCTACGTATAGGGGTAGCGGATATTTTTCGGGAATAGATCACGTTGAAAAGGTCGGATCACGAACAAAAACTGTACCCACGAGCCGATCATTTTTATCTGTCCTGAAAATGGCATGACCTTAACCCGAATTACCTTTGATTTGTGAGATATATCTTGAGATCATAGCAGGCCACAAAATCTCACTTCAAGAAGTTACAGCGATACCCGATTTACTCGGCATCTGTCATTGACCTCTGGAAGGTCACCCAATGACCAAGGACCTTTAAATTGGGTAGCAGCGACTGCCTATCTTCACGGGCAACACGCTCATTTTTTTCTGCAAAGCTCCAGCTCAGAGGCCGAGATGCTCGGGTCAGGGTGCAATGGACGACTCCTCTCCCTTGCGTTAGTGACTGTGAAAACACCAATAGACGAGCGCCGGTTAATACATGACAGTTACTTTTGCACGACTGTACGGAATGGTGAGCAGCTACATGAAAATTGGCATGCGTCAGCTAATCAGTTCATGCTTTGTGCGTTTGACCTCGACTAATCTTTAAATCCCATGGGCACAACAGTTGCGATGTCTGTCCCAAGGAGTCATTAATTCTAAAAAAAGATGAGGCTTTCTCAGAGGCCCTCATTACCCCCCGCCGAAGGGCGCCATTACCCCCAAAGGGGGCATGCCCCACCATTTGCCGACCCCTGGTTTAGCGGACTGACTCTGGGTGTAAAGAAGTTATTTTCCCTGTAGGTACTTTGACCTTTATTGACAGGTCTTCAAAAGGGCTATGCGATTCAAAAAAGTACAGGGAAAAATAGCATCTAGGGAAAAATAAGTACAGGGAAAAATAACTTCTTTACACCCAGAGTCAGTCCCCTAAACGATTTATTATCATAAATTACGCTCATTTAACGTGTTTGACACCAGGCTTTACCTCATTCAAGGTGTAGGTTACTTGCGAGCTGGACGAGGCAAGCGTCGAAAGCTCATCGAGGTGCGGGTTCAGACATCATGCATTACAACTGCATCACATATCCAAACCGACATCCGCTCATCCCTGCGCGCGTATGTACAGGACCCACCTGAAGCACCTTGTTGGGCACATCGACGCTGTGGAGGCGCGGCGGCGCGGCGGTCTGCGGCGTGGGCAGCGGCTGCGACTGCTGCTGCTGTCGCTGCAGCTCCAGCAGGTGCCGCTGCCGCTCTCGGGCCTCCTGCTCCTCGGCCTGCTGCCGCATCAGCTGCTGCTTCAGCTGGGTGCGAGAGGTGGTGCGCGCCGACTTGATGTTCATCATCGGACTGTGAACGGAGGAGGGGGATGTCGCTAACGGAGCGAGCACCGGCTGGCGGAGAATCACACCGAGCTTCTCGTGTTCTGCTAGGAACTGGCAAAAAGAACATGCGAGGAAAGAGGATACGAAAGTGTCCAATCGTATGTCTCAGTTCACTACTCATATTTCTATTTATTGATTACCTTGTCACGGTTTTTGAGTGGGAGGAGCTGACTAACAATACCCTGGCGAAGGCACCAACCGGCCCAGTCATTGCCCAGCCCTCAGTCCTCATAGTCAGGAATACCTCTGGGACTTCACCCTGAAGACCCACGATACCGGGCTACAATAGTGCGAATCATAACCCGGTGTTTTATTATGCAGCTTATGTTTCACGGGCATGACTGTCATGGTAATATCACGTCACAAGCATTGAACAAACACTTGTGTTATGGCAGAATCAATACAATCGACTCAACTGCAAGGCCACGGCGAGGAAAAAATCGAACGTGATCCGGCTGGAATTTCAGGGTCACCTTGTCACATCCTTTCACGCCTTTACTTCTGCATTTCGCTTTCAAACACGCAGTTGTTACTTGTTAGAGGCCCATGCCGAACAGGATATAAGCGTGAGCCCTACCGCCATACCACGCGTGTTCTAATACGCATTTCGCCATCATATTTGGCAGGGCAAATAACGCACGACTGCGCGGCGGCCACGGTCAAGGTTGATGGAATTTGGGGCTGCTCGGGGACTTCCCGGTGTCTTCCTGAATGAGGTAGATAATTTGTCCGCCAAACAATTTTCTAGTCGAGTATCGTGTTTTTTTTCCACTGCTAGTTCAACCTTGGTTCCCTTCCTATTCCATGATTGGTTCCCTTCCTATTCCTATTCCCCACTTCCCACATTGTCGCGCCCCGTCCCCAGCACCGGTAGGTATACCCACGCTTAATTTATCCTCAAATCATTAGTTTCCCGAAAGTACCGGTTCGTATTATCATTCAAAAGTTGGTAGGCATTTGTTTTCTTTCCCACGCATGTTGCGATCGCAAACCGTCTAGTCACTCCACGATCAAGAAGATGACACGCCTTATCTCGTTATGACCTTGTGACCTGTCGCCAGTAAACGCGTGAGCATACATTTCGGAGCTAATCTAGCCGATGTTTGTGTTTCGCACTCGACAAATTCCACAACTGCGCGGCTTTGAGTGAAATAGAACGGCGATATGATTGTGTCATTTGTTCTCAAGTTGTTTGATCAGTAGGTACTAGGCGGGGGTCGCTCTGGAGTGTCATCGTTACTTGCACAAACCAGTATACCTATAGACGTGACCCAGGCAAACTCAAGTTGAAGCGCACATAATTACACTTGCAATGCATCTGTTCATCTCAACGGTTAGTTATCTAAAAATATCGAAACCATATGACGGTTTTGTGAACTCATCCCGGGGTTTTCCTTTACAGCGGCATGCACCTTAACCCTATTCCTGGCGGGCTCCGCCGGGACAAGAAACTGGCGGGGGGGGGGGCCGATTCGGCCCCCCCCCTGAGATCTCGAGAACGAAGCAAGATAGCGACAAGCGGTAAACGGCATCGGATACGCATGGACAAGGTCTACAATTTTTACTAAGGTCATTTTCAGGTCAGGTCAAAGATGACGTCACAGGGGTCGAAAAAGTCAAAATGGCGGCGCTAGATATGGAGAGAGTTTTTCTCGAATAACTTTCGAATTAGTCAAGATAGGAACAAACTAGGGGCATCATCGTGATCCTCTCGTCAATCCGCATCGAATGATATATATGTTGACCTCGAAAGGTCAAGGTCAAAGGTTGACCTCAGGTCACGTGACCTCGAGGTCATCATGTATATCATTCGATGCGTCTTGACGAGCTGAACACAATGAGACCATCCACGCGTCTGTATCTTGTTCCTGTACGGAGTTATTGGCCAAAAACCTTTGGTGACCTTTGATGACGTCACATGACCTCACAGCTGCCCAACAGCAAAACAGACTTCAAGGTAGTGAAGGTTGATCGTATATGAAGTCATGTATGGTATATGGGGCCATTCCGACCCGTTTTAGTGGTAAAAACAGGGAGTTGATTTTTCCCCCATTGACTTATAATGGGGAGGTCGCGAAACTGACCTGACCTTAGGTCATCGATATCAAAATTCCGAGATATACAAATTGCACATACTGGTACCCTTACTAAAGCCTGAAGAGAAGAAATTGATCGGTCAAAAACTCTAGCTCTGGCGTGATTGCAAACTTTTCTGAGGTAGGGTCACCAAACCGCCTCTGGTGACCTGACCTGAGGTCAGATCAACTCAAAATTTTCAGACATGTTGCGTAGAAGCCTTATAGGAAAAGTCAGAAAATTTGAGCTTCCTAGCTCAACGCGTTTGGGAGAAATAACCAAAAAACCTCAGGGGGGGGCTCCTGAGGCCCCCCCCGCCAGGAATAGGGTTAAGTCAGCTCATCGTATCGTGCGTGGACAATTACTTACCTTGTCCATTGCTGCATCTCCCAATTTGGACTGATACTCTGGGGGATCTCGAGGATGCCAAATGCGGTGATAAATAGTTTCCAGTGAAGAACTCTAGTCATGAGAACCTCCTTTACGGATAACACATGAAACCACGGCCACCGCAGTCGGTTTTTGAATATTAAAGCGGGCGACTGCGGCCTACTGGCGGTCGCCGATGGTAGATAGACAGGTGGGCAGTGGCGTCGGCTAAATGCGGCTGTGAGCGACTACGGGCGGCCATGAGCGGTTGTAGGTGGTCGTAGGTGGTCATCGGTGGTTATGGGTGGCCATGGGCGATTATGGGCGAATGTGGACGGATTTTTAGAATTGTCATTGAATTAATATAATTTCTACAGTAGAGATTTCATCATGAGCATTCAGCAATATAATCTAATCCAATCCAATCCAATCCAATCCTGTCCAATCCTATATTCCTATCCCATCATATCTAATCATATCTAACCCTGTCTAATCCTATTTAGTCCTATCTAATCCTATCTAATCCGATCTAGTCCTATCTGGTTATATATAATCCAATCTTGTCAAAACCAACGCTGACCAATCCCATCCAATCCAATCCTGTCCAATGATATCAAACCCTATACCATCCTATTAAATCATAGTTAATCCTATCTAATCCTATCTAATCCTATTTAATCCAATCCTATCCAATTCCACCCGTCCCATTCATTCCAATCCAATCCAATCCAATCCAACTCAATTCTGTCATATCCCTAGCAATCCTGTTCTGTCCTATACTTTCCTTTTCTTTACTATAGAATATCGCATACAAATACGCCAAAATGCATTTATGAGCCATCAGTCCGCGATTAAATGTCTCCAGTGATCCCACCTATGACACCGTCCCTGGTCAGTAGGTGTTCTAATAATTTGCTCAGAATATCCGCAATTTAATATTTATATTTTTTCAATATTGTACTTGCTAGACACTGGCAATACATAGCGATTAACTGTGTTTCGTGGACACTGGAAAGTGGACATGACATTAAAGGGACTATCCCACCTTTAACATGGGGTTTGAGTTGAGATAGCCAAGTTTGCGGCGAGGTTCAGAAACCACTATCTATCTAGGTTGCAACCCCCGCGGCCTCTTGGTGTTGAAGAAATTCGTTCCCTTCATTTGAAAATGGGCCTTGTACAAGGCCCTATCTTCAACATGGAGCGACCGTTAGTGTGACGTCACCTCGTTTAGTCATTCTGATTTAAATGGGTTTGCTCGATGAAAAATTGCTTAAAACTTGGTCTGAACTTTGTTGTGTTGCCTACAGAGTAAAAAGAATCAGCTTTATGACAGTAATGAGGCCAGGGGAAGGAGGTAATTTTGGGCTGTTACGTCACATATTTGAAAGTTTGAGTTTGGAATATGGGAAGCCTAAGATGTTTAATGAAAAATGAATGCCAGAACCGTGTTCCTGGTCATCCAATCTATAAAGTCGGGCACAATTTGACTGGTTTTAACAACGTTTTAGAAGGTGGGATAGTCCCTTTAAACTCACCGACCGTCTCTGTAATGGACAATATTATTCATTGACTCGAAGGTGACGACTGACGCTTTCTCAATCATTATCCCGCAACGAAGACAGTGTTTACAATTGCTTCACGTGCAAAGAGAGAAAATTATCAGTTGCCGTTTAACTGATTTGTTAAACGTCTAGACGATTAACAAACTGTTAAACGTCTAGTAGACACTTCTTCTAGTCTGAAATATGTCGTATTTTTATAAAAAAAAAACGTAGTTTTTACCTTTAAGCACCCGAAAGATATCGGCGGTACGGGATAACATTATTAAACCGCTGGTAGATAGAAAAAAAATCTTTTAAACGTCTCGCCTATCGGCTCGACGTTTAAAAGATTTGTTCTATCTACTCGCGCCTCGCGGTCTAATATATATTATCAAACTTGCTAGTGGATGAGTAACGTTTTTCATACACTTGATGATAATGAACTTCGAAGTTATTTATTTCCAGGTACCTAAACAAAAATTATGACTCATTACAACTCCTTTAAATGCATTGTAGGTACATATATGCCGTGAAAAGTCTCAATATAGTTATTGCTTCTAGAACAACCATCACCAAGCGAACCATGCACAGAACTGTTTAGACGGAGAGGAAAATTACAGCTGATCCGGACAAGCGTGTCGATATATACGTATTGACAGACACTTTGAGCACACTGAAGCACTTGACAATCAATAATCAGAACTACAGTTTCCCCTGTGGTTATCGATTCCCCGTCCTCTCGGCAGCACACACACACAGCACTCATGGTATACCTAAGTGCAGATAAAGGCGGTCTGTCGATCAGTTGTGTAACAGTGTGCGTGATAAATGGGGCAGACACTTCAATAATTTCAGACTAAATAATGCGACCTTTCAGAAAGCAAGTATGTAAGCTGAGTGTTTTATCTGTGTAAGTGTGAACCTTTGTTCGAAATTCAAGCATAATAAAATTGTCAGAAGGCTCGCTGTATGAATT